CCTCACATTTTGTAAATATTGAAGTATATCTTTTCATGTGACAACACTGAAGAAATGATACTTGGCTACAATGTAAAGTAGTGAGTATAGCTTGTATAACTGTAAATGTGCTGTCCCCTCAAAATAACGCAATCATTAATGTCTAAACTGCTGGCAACAAAAGTGAGTACGAAGTGATGGGGATGTACTCACTTCTGTGATAAACTGTATATTAAAAATCAGAGATGCAGGGTTGCTGTGTATCAAAACAGCTGCCTAGTTTTCTCTTCCCTTTACTGTTTCCTAATTCCTCAGTTAAGGTTGCATTTTTTAGTCTTTAAATTTATAGAGTTATGATCAACTCATAGTATTTTAAAAGTTCCAGGGAGCGAGATAAATCCTGCAACATAGTTTTCCAGGATAACTTGTGCAATTTGTCTTTTTCAGTGACCTAGTTTCAATAGATTTGCTTGCACTTTACTGGCTATTAAATGACAGTAAAATTTTGGTGGGGTGTGTTATTTTGGTCCGATGTTAAAATCTGCACTCTAATATTAAGACATCTATCAGATTTCTGAGAGCCAGTTTGGACTAGGTATTAAAACAGAGACCAATTAGACCCGAATTCTAGGCCTGCATTCACACTTCATGATCTTGGGCCTTAATGATCTCAGCTTTAGGAAGATGACAACAACAAACAACTTGTAGGAAAAGTTGCCAAGAAAATTGCATGGACTTATCCATATATTTGCTAGAAGTCAAGGCTAATACAAAACCACCTTGCAAAACAAGGTTTCTAAAGTCCAAAATAAGGGAGACTTTTCAGAATTATTTTGAGATGCATTCTCCAAGGCTATTATTAGATACAGGACTATCTAATATTGACAGTGAGATCTCAAAAAGTTCTGTAAATTGTGCCCCCCCCCACTAAAAAAAATCCCTAAGAGAATTGTACTGGTTTAGAATAATTTAATAAATCCTTTGCTTTTCATGTGATTTAGACATTTCTTTATTTAGCTTTATCAAATAATGTTTCATTAAACTGAGCTGCATTTGTCATTTTGCTCTCTGTTTTTCCTGTTGCTTTGGAGTATTCTTCAATTTTCATTTTGTTTTAAAAACTGAAAAATAAAATGTCATCTGCAGTACCACTGTTTATGCTTATCCTCAGAAAATTAATGAATTAATGATTAAAGTTACAGAAGTTTGAGAAAGCGCATATACATCCTCTGTAGTGATATTTTTATATCCATTCCTCTTGACTATAATTTCACTTACATACTCATTGTTAACTTCCAAAAAATGAAACTTGAAGTCATGATAACTCAGCCTAGTACTGTATGTCACAGCTACTGCTTTGTAAGGGAAAAATATTAGCAAAAGTATTAAAATAGATTTAAAACTTATTTTTGTTATTAAAAATTTGTGAAGCTATCAAATTTAGAATATTGTATGCAGTTTCATTCCAAAAAAATATTGTATGGCTGAAAAAAGTGCTGGCAAAGTAACTCCCACATGCAGAAGTGACTTAAAAAAAAAAAATCAGCTAAAGAGGGAGATAACTGGAGTATAAAATTATTCATGGCATGGCAATAATTCACAGATTTTTTTCTTTCTCTTTCTAATACTAGAGCCTAATTAAACTAAGTTGAATTGTACAAGGTCTGTGGCAAGTAAAAGGAAATTAGTCTTAATAACAATAAAATAATTTCCTTTCTCAGAATAAATTATAGTCATTAAGGAAATTTTAAAAGGAGATTAGACTAATTTATGGAGTGTAAGATTATCAGTGGCAACTAATAATGATAGTTATACAGAACTGTCCTTTCATATACTACCTGGTGGGTAGAGGTAGCAGACCAATCTTATGTTTGTTAGATTCCCATGCTCATTTTGTGGATAATTGGGAACAGAACGTTAGATTAAGCAATTGTTTTGTTCAATACAGCAATGTTGTATTGTGACATTGATTTTTTTTAGATATTTCAATCTTATTAATTCTTTCTAGATATATTGGACATATATTTGGAATATTATTTAATTACATCTTGGAGTGAGAAACTAGCTCAAGTTATAAGTATTTCTTTTTGTTTGAACTTTATTATATTATTATTAATTATAATACATAGTTATATACATTGTGTCAACCTGTTTCAGTGGTTCATTGTTGAGTCTTCTCTCATAGGTATTCTCTTCGTGGCTTCTGATTCCTGAAATATAAATTTTTGGACAGTTCCTCAAAGAATGTGTTTTTTTACAGCATTCCATTACAAGCCTCCATATGCATGCTGTAGATTAATTTTAAACTCTCAAATGAGTCTTGAAAAATTGATGCTAGTTCTATGATTTATTGAGGAGTGGAATGACTGTCAAACAGGTTTAACACTGTGTTATTGATCTGCCTAGGTTTGTCATGGGCAGGATAGATTATGTGACAGGTGTTCACTTTATGAAGACAAAAATTAAGTACAGTAGGCAAAGTGATGCTGATTTACGTATTTCTGTTGCAACAAATATGCAAATTATATGTAAAATGTGATGGAAAATACCTGCTTATGTGAATAGTATTTTGTGGAGGGTGGTGACTCTTGGTTCTGGGACTGATTATCAGATAAGCTTGTTTCTGATCTTTCCTAGGTAGTCTTAACATTTAGTCATGAAAACTAGTTGGTCTACTGTTTAGTAACCTCTTGCTGTGCATAATGAAGGAAGTCTGATGTTCCTGATGACTTACATAGAAACATTAATGCACTTTTGTTGGCATAATAGAAATCTAGTTTCCTACTGGGACTTTTTTTGACTCCACAACTTATTCTACAATTTGGGATTTTTAGATGCAAGTCCAAATATCAATCAGAATTAACTTTTTTGGCTGTTGATCTTAACCAACATCACAAACCATAAATTAATTGCATATTAGGTCATTTGAAATATATGAATATTATTCAAGTTGGATAAATTTGGGATGGTTATTCATCAGTTTTCTAAACCTGACAGACAAAGGAAAGGGTGGGCCAAAGCAACTTTGTAACATTCAAAAAAGAGCTTATTAACAGCAATTTAAAGATTAACATTTGTTTCAGCTTAAGATTCATTGGTTAGGACTCAGTTTGCCAAAATGCACAAAGTAGCATCCTTGGTTGGCAGATGATATGTACATATTTATATTTTTACTTAATTCAATGGGTTCTGTGGCTTTACTTAAATTACTAAAAAGCTTAAATTCTAATTATTTTTATAAAGGTAATGATAATCAATACAAGAAATCACTTACTTAACTAGAGCTCATATAGGAGATCTTGCAGCCTAAGCATAACTGATTATTATTTAATTTATAGCCCTTTTCATTCAGAATGCACTCAAATAGCTGCTTCTAAGGCTTACTTAATTCAATCGACTTGGCTTGTATGCATAGAAAACTGCCCAATAACAAAGTCATTTTCTATTGCTTTCATAATTGAATACATGTATTGAATTATTGCTAGGTGTTTTTCAAGTTTAATTAGAATTAATTTAATTGAAAAAAATAAAAGCGTTCATCCTCTCATATTCCAATTTTCAAAAAGTGTTCTGTTTTATAACTAGGGTTTATTTTATTAAAATAAGGGAACTACTGGTATGTGGCAATTCATTTTCCAACCTGTGTAATAAATCTGTGACTTTGTCCTCTTATGTAACTATACATACTACAAGTGTGAGATTACCTGTACAGCTGGATAGCAGCACCTATCTAACTTGGATTACCTCAGAAATACAGAGTAGGTAGCATTAGGCCTGATAAATACAATACAATACAATAGCAGAGTTGGAAGGGACCTTGGAGGTCCTCCTGTCTAGGCAGAAAACCCTATACCGTTTCAGACAAATGGCTATCCAACATCTTCTTAAAGACTTCCAGTGTTGGGGCATTCACAACTTCTGGGGGCAAGCTGTTCCACTGATTAATTGTTCTGTCAGGAAATTTCTCCTCAGTTCTAAGTTGCTTCTCTCCTTGATTAGTTTCCACCCATTGCTTCTTGTTCTACCCTCAGGTGCCTTGGAGAATAGTTTGACTCCCTCTTCTTTGTGGCAACCCCTGAGATATTGGAACACTGCTATCATGTCTCCCCTAGTCCTTCTATCTATTACACTAGACATACCCAGTTTCTGCAACCGTTCTTCATATGTTTTAGTCTCTAGTCCCCTAATCATTCTATCCTATCCCCTTCTCCCTCAGCCTTGCCCCACAGAAACTTTCCCTATCCTATCTCCTTCCCCACCCCAGCCTTGCCCCACAGAAGCCTCCTCTATCCTACCCCCTTTTCTCCCTCAGCCTTGCACTACAGATATCAGGATCCTCTCCAAACTCCTAGCCAGCAGGCCAGATAATTCACGTGCTGGCCAGGCCCACATCCAAATGGCAGTTGGAACAGAGTTATTTTCAGGTTGCAAGGGGGAATAGAATGTCTAACTCCTTAGCATCAGAGCGTGTTAATAATAATACTAATGCTCTAATAATACTAAAAATGGCATTATTTTAAAAATTAAATGTTCTGGACAAAAAATGACAACACTGCATACTTAAATAATCACAAAGTTTTCACCTTGCAGCATAGTT